GCGATGGGGCTCCCGTGGCTGCTGATCCTGGCCCTGCTGGCATCGGGTCGCGTGGCCTCCGGCCGAGCTGAGACGATCGGGAACTCCGGCCAAGGTAAGGTGGGGTGCCTGGCTCCTGCACCCCAAGGTGGCTGTTGCATTTTGTGCAAGTGAGAGGTCCAAATCCGCCTGGGGTTTTTCTACCTAACCGGGGAAGTGATGAGTTCAGAACCCACCTGCACGAATGCACCGGAGTCCTTCTTGCATTGGAAACCCTCTGCCAAGGAGGCCTTCCTGTCAGTTTAGGCTGGGGAAACGGGAGGAGATAAGTAACATTATTACTTCCCACGGGGAGCAGCCATGTTGGTGGCTTTAACTGAGCACACGAACCGCTCCCCTGCTCCCTAGCGGGCCGCCTCCGCTTCTGGTCAGCGAAGCTGGGGAGAAACTGCGGCTTTGCGTTGCCTGATGTCCGTCCCAGCTGCTGAGACTCCAGAAACCTAGGTGCTTTTCAAATTGGCGATGTTCTGCAGAGCTCGAGAGGAAAAACGAACTCAGAGTGGGACTTCAGACTGTGGGTCATGCGCTTGGGTGGAAGGGTGTTGGTAACAGCTCATGGTTTGTTAACATGAAATGTAAAAAGCTTAAGTTGTGTCAGGCTGGAAATCATGTGCTTTTCCGTGAAGTTAAGCATATTCCGGGTTTTGTGTTGAGCTTGGGAGACAAGTTACAGCTCTGACACAATATTTGCTGAACGATGTGATTGTGTTTCTTAATGCTTATCACGGAAAAATTTTTGTGCCAACAGAACCCCAAGACCTTTGTGTAGAACTAAAGCCAAAGCTGAAAAAGGCTATTATTTTTATGATGTTTTTACAGAAAAACCTGGTTTATGATAGGCCACTAACATTCATAACATGAAGAATGTTCCCAGTGCTTCCCCATGTGCATTGTTCTTTAATCCTACAACCCCGTAACATAAGGAACATCCTCTCACTTGACAGAGGATAAAACCGAGGCCTGAAACACTCATCGCCCCATGAGCAGCAAGGAGGTGCGCAAACAGGGTTTGAATCCAGGTGGTCTTCCTGTGAATTTCATGGTCCCTTTCTGTTTCAGCAAAGCTGCCTTTTAATGGAACTATCTAGCATAGCACGGTGCTTTCTATTTCATGGGTCAGTGCATCCTCATCCCTCCAAATAGCCTTAGGAAGAAGGTAGAAGAGAAAACATGTATTTTAACAGGGTTGGAAGTAGAAGACTGAGTTTGGGGTTGATCCAGGATAGCCCTTGAGTCAGGAGTGCAAGATCCAGATCTTTTATTTCTAGTTTGGTGCTTTAAGTATTTAATACCTTGAATTTTTTTACACAAAAGTTGAGAAATAAAAGTAATTACTTGATAAATTCATATTTTTTCAGGCACTTTTTCTCACTGTTCTTTCAGTTCAGCAATGGTATTTCCATATCTCCTCAGCAATTAAAAATTATTTTTACCTTGCATTAGTGTTTTGTGTAGTAGAGTGACATGTGGAAACTTTACTGCAAAGTGATCATAAAAGTGGATATCCTTTACATTTTTCACATAAAAATCAATATAGAAATGAAGAAACAGTTTAAGACTTGCATTTTTCTCTTGTAAAATGGTTGTGTAGCTCTTGAGGGTTCTGAGAACTCTAAAGTTTCTGAGGAAGGTGCAGCCTCTTATCAGCTGGACACAGATGATGATCTATACTTTAAAATAGTTGTTCTTTTTCTTGGAGTCCCAATTTTCTGTCACCCTTACCATCTTTCATTATTGTTTTAGATTCATATCCAGTGACCCACATGGAATCACCAACTTTTGGAGTTGAGCAGAGTGTCATTTGGGCCCTCAGATGTCTGTGCTTTAAGAAAGGCAGAAAGCCACTTGTGACATTAGTTACAAGTCATTGCCTTCTTTAAAAGTACATGAGAGCCAGGCAGTGATCCATGCTGTAATCCCAGCTACTCAGGAAGATGAGATGGGAGGATCTAAAGTTTTAGCTCACCCTGTGTAGCTGAGTGAATCTCATTTCAAAACAAAAAGAACTATAGATGTAGCTCAGCACTCCCTGGGTTCCATCCCCAGTACTGCGCTGGGCAAAAATGAGAGTTTGAGTATTCATTGTTGTGTTCCCACTGAACTTTTAGTATGAAGGAAAATTCATGAGAAGATAAAAATGAGAATTTGGGAGGGGCTGAGGGAACACCAGCCGGCTCAAATAGCTGAACCATTTTTGGTTTTAATCTTCCCTCTGGAGGGAATTATGAAGACTGAGCCTTGACAGATCCCTCCTAGAATTTGGTTGTTGTGTTGAAGCCCACAGAGTAGAGAGATACATTTTCATAAAATGGAAGAGTTGGAAAGTTTTAAGGCTGCCAGATTGGGATCTAATTGGGAAAGAAAGAAAAAGATTAGAATTGGGTGCCTCTTTTTAGAATGGAATTATTGGAAGGAAAACGTGACTCTGGATACAATTAGAAGATGAGTAGGATACATGGGGAAGAGTCCCCTTCTATGCACATGACAAAAACACATTCTGGTAGAAAAGCAGAGTCCTCCTTTTAGAGGCAAAGGACAGTGAGCGAGCGCCCCATCTCAGTGTTGCCGTTCTTTCTGCAGTGTCTTTGATGTGCTGTCTTTTTTACTTCCCACTCCCTAAGTCATAAGATCTAATTTATGCCTCATAAAATGCTTCCAGTAAACCCTTTTCCAGATGGCTTAGAGGTGAAGCTAAGTTCTTGTTAACTCCTGCAGGATTTGCTCTGAGTGTGCGTCTTCTTTTGCCAAGTCTGTTTTTTGTGGTGGAACTTAAATGTAGTTTCTGTCACACTGCTCTGTAAAAGTTATTTTGATTTTCAGTGTCTTTCATTGTTACCCTGTGGAAGTCTCCTTTTCAACTGGTTGCTCGTGATGTGCTGGGTGTTTCTGTCAATGGCCTGGATGTGGTAGCCTCTTCCCAGTAGTTTATTTGTAGGGCCAATCTGAGAATGGCTGGCTTTTTAAATTTTTCCTTTTAACCTAAGGAGATGAGTCTTTGAAGCCTTGGTAAATTAATGGATGTTAATGGTACTTTATCGCATAGCATAGGAGAGTTTAAAAACAATTTTCCCGTCCTTTTGAAATTTGGTTTCAGCAGCCACCTGATGGATGTAGCACAGACACTTGATTCCACCATAAGAAAACTGAAGCCTGGAGAAAATAAATTACTTGCCTGTGGCCACACAGTTCCATCATCATTCAACAAACGTGTATTGTGTGCCGCCCAGGTGACAGGTACTGTGCCAGGCACCAGAATATCAGATATGACGAAGCCCTGCATAAGTAGTTTTAGCAAAGATGTAATCTTCTATAAAAACGGTGAAATGGCTGCCAAGGTAACACTGCAAAAGGACTGTCACCCAGAGGTTAGGTTAAAGATCAGAAAAGGGGGAAAATATATTTATCCTTCCCTTGTTCATCATTGTGGCTGGAATTCTCCATCCTGGATGAACATTAAATCACCTGGAGAATTTTTTAAAGAAGTTATATCAGTGGAGCAAAAACTAGAAATTGAAATTTGAAAGAAGACCTAAATTTCCAATAGCACCAATAAATATTTACCAATAATAATACTGGGATAAGTGTAGACCTTTACAGAGAAAATGCTGCAGTGTTCTTGAGAGAAATCAAGAAATGAAAGAGAGGAACACTTCACATATGTAGATTAGGATATTTCTGTTTTAAAGCTATCATTTCTCCCTACATTGCATATGTAGCGCCATCCTGATCAAATTCTCATCAGGCTTTTTCTGTGTGTGGATGTTGACAGACTAATTTATATGTTTATATGGAAATTAAAGGGCTAAAAATAGTTGAGACCATTTTGAAGAGGAAGAATAAAGTTGGAACAGGAATTAAAACAGCACAGTAGTGGTGTTAGGGCTAACAGATAAGCCAGTGGAACCTCACGGAGAACCCAGACAAAATTATGTTTCTTCATTTGACTCATGTGAAAGTTGGAACTGCAGGGAGATAGTTTTTTTGTTTTGTTTTTCGAGTACTGTGTTATACCTGTAGTCCTTTGTGCTTTTATATATTTTTTTTTTAAATTTTATTGAGTTTATTGGTACATTTTAGGGATACAGTACAGTTACATTCATTGTTGGGATCATGTACCTTTACATGGCAAGTCTTGATTCTCATTTTTTCCCCTTACCTCTGCCCTCCCTTCACCCCTTCCTCCCCTCCCCATCTACAAACACTTTATTTTCCTCTTTTCATTCTCTCACGTTTTTTTCTTTTCCCTTTTTGTTCTTCCCCTACGCGTCACACCTTCCCTACACCTTTAGCTCCTTTCTTCAAATTTCTAAATGTCAGTAATCTTATTAGAATCTTATGCATTGTTGCAGAATATTCACACCAGGGAAACTATTTGGTATTTACACATGTGTGACTTATTTATTTCACTTAGGAGTATATCTTCAATATGTATCCATTTTCCTATGAATGAATCTATTCTCTCGCTCTTTATGGCTGAGTAATATTCCATTTTATAGAAAAACCACAACTTCTTTATCCAGTTTCCAACGGATGGGCAAATAGGCTGTTTCCAAGATTTAGCTATTACAAACTGTGCCGCTATAAACATGGGTGCACATACTTCTGTGTGATATGATTCTTTTAGTTCTCTTGGAAAGATACCCAGCAGAGGGATGGCTGGGTCAAATGGAACCTCCAGTCCAAGCTCTTTGAGGTATCTCCATATTGATTTCCATAGTGTGCTTTTATATTTTCTGACAGGATCTTGCTGAGTTATTCGTGCTGGTTCTAAATTTGTGATGCTGCTACTTCAACTCCCTGAGTAACTGGGATTACAGGGATTACATTGCGCCTGTCAAGGGTTTATTTTTAATCAAAGTTAATATTTCAAGTAGTTATACATGGAATAACCATGACTTCATAGTTATACATAGTTATACATGGAATAACCATGTTTGGCTTCATATCATACATCAAAATCTATGTCTGGTTGATTTGATAACTGTGAAAAGTAAAACGAACTTCCAGAAGTTAATACAGGAATGAATCTTCACGATCTTGGAATATGTTGGCAAA